ATTTTCACCAGGTATAGGATTCTTCATTGAGTTTTTTTCTTTTAGTGCTTTAATCATTTCACTCCATTGACTTCTGGTTTATATAATTTTTGATGAGAAATGCGCTATAAATTTTTTGTTTCTCGTAATATAATGTGTCTTCTTTTTTTCTGGCTTCCTTAAAGATTTTCTTTTTATCTTCAGTTTTGAGTAATTTGAATATGATTTGTCTCATTGGTTTCTGGAGATTAGAGGTGTGATTTATCCTACCTTTTCTCTGAACTACTTCAATATGTGGTTTTGTTTCTTTTAGTTTTGGAAAATTCTCAACCAGGTATTTCTTCTGTCCCATTCTCTTGCTCTTCTAGGATATCAATTACATGTATGTTAAATCACTGATACTGTCCCACAGCTCTTGGATTTTCTGTTCTGCCCACCCTCCACCATTTTTTTCCTTTTGTGTTTCATATTGGATAATCTCTTACGTGACTCTGTAGAGTTTACTCTTCAGCCATTCCAAAGCATTCTTCAACTCTGTTACCATGTTTTTCTTTCTTTTTTAATTTAATTTATTTATTTTTAATACATAGACATTTCACATTTTTATGAGACTGAACAATTATCTACCCATAGAAGACAGTGCGTAATATTAAAGAACACAGTACAAGGATTCAATAAATCAGGGTTCTGGAGAGAGATATGTATGATATTTGACAAAGGACTCATCCAGAATGTATATAAGAACATTTACAAATCAATAAGCAAAAGACATGACAACCCAAATTCAAAATATGGGGAAAAGCCCTAAACTGGCACTTCATAGAAGATACCCAGATATCTAAACCATCTAGTGGTATGCGTGCTGAATGAATGCAAACTGATTTTATATTACCTGTGAGAAACATATTTAAAAATGTATATATTTGGAAAGATATATTTTATCGTAAAGCCAGATTTATATGAAATTTTGGTCATCCAGAGTATAGACACTGTATTTGTTAGATGTCAGTGCTTTAAGTAGTATCTTGGGTTTCAGTGACTCCACCAAGGTATAAGAGAATGAGAAAAAAAAAGGAAAGGATATAAGAAATTCAAGGTGAAAATGTTGCAAGTGTCACAAAAAAA